GGGGGGGGGGGATGTCGTGGCCCACGCGCTCGTCCGAACTGTGGGAGTGCGCGCGCCCCGGCAGCGTCGGGACCCCGACGACACCGGAACACGCCTGGCAGATGGGCTGGTGTGTGTGTGTGTGTGTGTGTGCGGGTAAGGGGGGGGGGGTACCTGTGGAGATGCCCGGCGTCTCGCCGCGACCTTTCAGGCAGCGAGATCAAATCGTCCCCCAGGAGGTCCCCGCCTCGGGAGAGCCGCGCTGAGTGATGGGGGGCGAGCCCGGAACAAGCAGCCCGACGGGGGGGGGGGGGCCGAACCATTCGGCCGGGCGTCTCGGCGTGACAGAACACCTGGCCATGCGACGGCTCGTGATCTCCTCTGTGAAATGCGTCCCGGGCTCTTCCCAGAGAATTAATTGGTGGCCCGGGCCTCCAACCGGATGCCCATTGTAACCGGGTATTGGTATCCCACGGGGCAACACGGCCCGGGCGCCGGCCTCCTCGTGACCAGCTCCCGCGCCCCGCCCCGGGGGCGGCGGCGGCCGGGAGGGCGGGGTGCAGGACCGGCCGGCTCTCGCCCGCCCGCCCAGGCCGCGTGCTTGGTCGTCCTTCCGCCCCCTTTTGATCAAGCCGCAGGGGTCGCCAACAGCAGGATGTGAGCCGGGGAAAGACCCCGGGGCGGCCGAGCCCGATGGATGGGGCTCCGAATTTCGGCAGCCAGTCGCGTGTGACTGTGCGTCCCCCCCTCCCGCCGCTTGGTCCGGTATGAGACACGTCCGAGGTCCCCCCCTCCCTCCCCACTGCATTCCCTTCCGACCGTCTCAGGGGGGGCTTCCCCAAGGAGATTGCCCCGGCCTCGCAGCTCGCTCGGAGCCGCGTCTCCCATCTCGGCCCAGGGACTCTCTCTCTCTCTCTCTCGACGGCGTCTGGTACTCCCCTGGGTGGGGGTGGCAAGGAGAGACATATGCCGGACACGGCCAGGGGCGCTTGGGACCAGGGACGCCCGGGTGCGCGGCCCGAGAGGCGGGCTGCCGTGGCGTCCCTGCGCCGGCGTGCACATGCGCGCAACGGGACGACCCCGCTGCCTGCGGCGCCTGGCGTGGCGGCCGCACCAGGGCCGCCCGGCCGGCGGGCGTCGAGAGGGGAGGCGGCGGGGGTCATGCTCACCGGTCGCCCGGCATGGTGGGCCGGTCGGACGCCGGGTCGCCGGCACGACAGGCCCCCACCCCTGGCGGGGAGGCGGTCCGCCTCACACATCGCGTTCGCACGCCTTGGGGCCGGGCCGCACCAGTGTGTCGGGCGCCCTGCGCGCCCTCCCCCGGGACCGGCTTGGGGATCCAGCCGCCGGGGCACACCAAGCCCCGGGGGTGTGTCGGGCGCCCGTTCGCCGTTCCTGCCGGGCCGGCCCGGGGGG